CAAATTCTGCATATGAGGAACAGAAGCAGAGAAGTGGTACAACATGCTTCAAAGCACATAATTTTGCACTAGCAAAGCACTCTAGCCCCTGAGGTCACACCATCAGTCAAGTCTGAAGTACAAAACGGCCAAGCATGGGTAGGATAATGTAAAATTAGTCTTTTAGTTTCTAAAGAGTACTGATATCACCTGAGGACAGGTCTCTCTAAGGATGCTGGAAAGCTGCCCAGGTTTGACTGTGTTGATGGATTGAATAAAAGCATTTATTGAGCATCCAGTTGCTTTGGAGAATGTCACCAACATTTCAAGAGAAACAAAGATGAATAAAACATGGTTCCACCTTTAAGGAACTTAAAACGCAGATACTTAAAATCTAAATCAGAGAAGGACAGGATTTAAAAAATGTAAATTAAAAAAGCCCCTGATGGTTTTTATGAATATTCTGAAACTAATAAGTGTTACAGGGATACGTGCAAATGTTTACATATTATTTAAAACCAAGTGCATAAGTATAGGACTGGAAAAAAAATCTGCTTTCATAGCAGCTTTTATATAGCCTCTCTAGAGGTTTTAGGATTAACCTCAGGACTAAAATGCTGTTAAAACTTTTGATATATTTTAGGTTATACTTATAGAAGTTACACACTCAGAGAGTCTCTTTTCCCCATGTAGAGTTCTGGAATGGTCAGCCAGCCCAGCAGCAACCTTTCTTGGTAAGGCTATAACATTTTAAGAGGAGCCCTGCAAAAGACACCTGGGATACATGGAAAAGGAAAATCTAACCAGTTACGTGAAGGATGAATGAAAGAATCGGGACGTTCAGCCTGGACAAGAAAGACTCAGGAGAGTAGGTGGGATCAGATTCCAAAATATTTGGAGGGTTGTCATGTGGAAGAAGGAGTCAATACTTCTGAGCTGCTCCTAAAGGCAAAATGACCCGAAGTCATGGGGAGGTTAACTCAGGTTAGCAAAAGACAGTGAATGCTGATCTATTTAAAAAATGGACTGTGAGCTAGGGGAAGGGCTCCTGGAGAGGGTGGTAGGCGGGTGGCTTATATTTTCAACATAATGTTGAAAGCATCTTCAAAAATTAAAATCCTATGCTTTATGTTTCTGTAATAGAAACAGTTCCCTAAATCTTTAGTACACACACACACACACACACACACACACACTATCATATTTTTCCCATTGCAGAATTTGAGAGATTGTAATTAACACACGAGTAGCAATTATCTTTATATTCCTTTTAGAAGCAAAAGGAACAGTGACAGGTTATGACAAGAGAAGAAATACACAGCCTGTGTGCATAGAAAACCAGTGAAGAGTGGGCATAAGCCCTGGGAATCCTCTCTGGGGAGAACAGGGAGCTGTTTTGATTTAAAGAAGTGAACAGAGAAGGAATATGAGGTTAACCCTGGATGCAACTTTAAATCCTTCAGCGCAGTGCCTAGCAGCCATAAGAAAGCAAACAAAAGTCTGCAAAGCTTCCCAGAGGCGATGAATAGAAACAGAAACAAGTCACTCGCCTAGATAAATGCTGCATCCCTGAGTTGCCTGTGGCTCCCACCTCCTCTGCACCAGGCATTGCAGTCCTGAGGAAGGGCAAGAAAAGGCAACCAGAATGAGGGCAAAAAAGGTCTGGCACATGGATCTTGAGCTAACTCACATAAATCAAGTAAGTGTAATTGGCAAGTGGACACTTAGAGACAGAATATATAAAGGAAATCTCACCAGAAAGGGCGGGGGACAGGCGGGAGCCAGTGGAATAAACCGCTCTAGACTTGTTGAATACAGGAAAAACAAAGAGAAGAGATTGACTTTGAAATCCAGACAAAGCTCAGCAGAGAAGCAAGAAGAGTTAGGGGAACAGATCTTGGCCCGGATGATGAAAGCCTCAGATATATTCCTGGCCACACCAAGCAATTTATTAAAAGTTGTTTCTTCCCCACGAACCAACCAACTTCCACTGGTCTCTAGCATTCCTTCTGACTTATTTCATTAACGTTTCCTTCTTTTTCTGGAGCATACAGAGCCCCAGGGAGTCTCTCTCTTCCCCCACCTCAACCCCACCAATGGGGCATTGAACGAGAGCCAGGGTGTTGTCTGTGGAAAGAGAAATTGCAAAACCACAAATTGCACAAAATCGTTACTGCCAAAAATCGAAAGGAACACACAATATCACCATGCCTCTTTAAAAGCAATTGCGCATTTTACAGCCCTCTGGATAATTCAGGTTTGTTTGGCAACTTTCTCACCCATACCACCCAGAAGACAATGCCCCTCCACCAGAGGCAGTTGACCTCAAGAATAAGTGTGGTCGAAAGGAACCACACCGAGGTAGTGCAAGCCTCTGCAGGACACTGATTTGACCCAATAGGATTCTATTTTCTACTACTGTGTAGTTTTGACTTTAAGGCCCAAAGTTTGTCACCAGAGTGACAAAACAGGGAGAGTTCTGAATAATCGAATAAGATCCCTTACAGATATGATGCACTTTTAGATACAACATAATCCTATGAAAGGAGGCAGGAAAAAAAAAATGACTTCCTTCCCCCTCCCTCACTCTCTGTTATAATCTTAGAAACTGGGGTGCTAACTAACATTCCCAAAATCAAGCCACTGCTAAGGAGGTGAACTCGGATTTAGCCACAGGCCTCCTGATTTTCCCTCCCGGGTTCCTCACATGGCTCAGCCCTATTTCTCTGGGGGCATATGGTCCTGGCTTGGCTAAGCCATCTGCTTCAGCTGCGTTGGCATCTTACATGTCCCATACATATTTGCTGGACCTTTACTTGGAACGCTTCTGCCGTTCAGTGCAGACCTAAGACTTGTTGCAAGGGACGCTGACTGGGTTGTTTTCCATTTGTTTTGGTTGTATAGTACAGTTCTTATTAGGATATAAAGCCAAATCCAGAGAGGATGATGAATGTGAGGGCCCAAAGGAGCTCAAGTCACCCTTGCCTGGTTATTTTAATGCATTTCTGTGATTTCATGGGTTGCTCAAAGATGGCTTGGGGAGTTGAGTAGACTGTTTTGTTTGTATGGTGTAAAATTCAAGTGCAAATTTGCATCTCAGATTATCTACTAATAAAATAGGTTACGGTACACTGTGCAGGCATGTCTTTGAGAAAAAAAAGAAATCTGAAATTAAGGTGATCACAATTTGAGCCCTCTAAGATGGAATAGCAGCCAGCACCTTCCTACTTCTCCCAATCTGGGAGGTAAAGGGTACTTTTTGAAAATTTGACAAAGAGATCTTGGGGTAATAATCATAAAAATGCACTTATGTTTACATATAATGGCTTAAAATGCATTGTAAATTGACCCTTCACTTAATTTTCATCATGAATATATATCAAATCATTTAAAACATTGGTGAACTTAAATAGACAGTGACAGTCTGATAAAGAGCTACTAAATATGAACATACAGGAAGATAAACATAGGTGGTTTCCCCTGAACAGCACTTTATGTTCAAAAGAAAGAATGTAGTCAAAAGCTAACATTTGTACAAGCAATATACTCATGATAGCACATGAAAAGAGGGACTGCTTATAAAATCTAACACGACTTTATTGGTAAAATCTGCTTAAAATATTCATAACGTGCAGGTGTCTTGATAATGCAATAAAGACCAAAGCAATATAACACAGAGCTTGACATTTTTAAAAATTCCAGTGAATGCATAATACTTTGACATTAAATTTAAATGACTTTGAAAGTGAATGTCTCTTGTGGTGATGTTTGAATATTTGGTGTATAGCAATGGGATCAATTTATTCTAGAGAGCAAAGAAAAACATCACCCTGGGAAATCAGTAGAAACTAAGTTTTTCTTGCAGTTCAGCTGAACATGTAATTTTCTCAGGGACTGAATGATTTGAAAGAGAATCTATTAGAGCATATATAGTATGTATAATTCAAGCAAGCTCTTTGGACTATGATGGTTCTAAGAATGTCTAGTTAAATGCTTTAGTGGCTGCTGAGATTCAGCCCTTGTTGGAAATTCCATATGAATCAGGAGCTGAGAGTTGATGTGGCCTCCCAGGTTTTATCTGACCTGATGGTTGTTGATTTCTTGCTTACTCATTACTCGTTACCTTTTAAGCTACTTTTGAATAGTCAGGGTCTTTATGTTGATCTAAATCTATATCCTGCTTTTTGAACTTGGATATTATTATTATGGAATTTTGTAAATATACACATTCATAAATATGTGTATAGGTATACATACACATACACATCTATACATCTATACCTGTATGTGTATGTATATACACACATATGTGGGTGTATACATATATGTTTGGTTGAAATCACTCTTAACTTTATTTTATTAAAAAGAGAAAAGAAAAACAATGTATTTGCATCTTAATTCCAAAGGCAAAATTCTCCAATACTCAGAACTTCCTGTTCAGACCTACCATAATTGTATTTATTCTTTCAGAATAGAGGGTAATGGTAATGTGGGCATAAATGCTGGAAGCGTCAGAGTAAAGAAGCAAAATCCACAGGACATTAATTCCAGAAAGAACACTGGTGTGTGAAGTGGCCATAATGCAGTAGACACTGCAAGGAATTGTTCAGGTAGCTACCAGGATCTATTCATCAAGAAACAGCCTGCAACCAACCATAAGATGATCACCTAGGTGAAGAGGAATAAATTAGTCATCCATTTGAGAGACACTGAATATTCAGATGTTGGTGTCACATGGCCATAATAGCTAAATGAATGTTGCCTACTTTTTCCCTTCTTACTTTTATCTAGCTTTTCAGATGCAGTTTGTCACGGCCACAATCAGGTTCCAAAACGTTTTCTAAAATGCTCCATGATGTTATACAAATCTGTACTGTAAAACGGTAGCTTCAAACTGTGGCTGCATTTGTTAAGCCAGACCTTAAAAATGCAGCAATGTGAGATAGGAGCCGTAAAGATTAAGAGGTTTTAGGAATTATAGCTGGGAAGTAGATAACATTTCAAGGAGGAAATGTACTTACATTTTGCTGCAAGTGAAATGCCTGTCTTTAAAGGGTAGCCTCTGAAACAAAGAGAGAAAAAAGTATGTTAAAAAAATTATACAGTAACCCATTCAAAATGAAAAAAAGAAAGCATTACTTAGCCTTTGAAGGTACAGCTACTGACTGAAAAATAATGAGATGCCTAAAGAAGAAAATGCGCTTATTGGGGGTACACTGTTCTTGGGGGTGCAGGGAGCTGTCATCTACAAGGAAAGTATTTAAGTCAACTGGCACATCTCATCACATGCTCAATTCCATGTCCCTGAATGTCCTAAAATTTTAATACCACTAGACACTCACTTTGTCTCCAAGGTCTAATCCTAGAGAGTAAACACAAGGAGTGGTTGTCGAGTACAATGGCTTAGACTCAGCCTCTCCCTGCTTCAGGTTCATACTGACATTGTACCTTGCTCTTGTAGGCCCAGTTCTGACACATTGTTCCATTAAATGAAAGTCCTCCAAAAAATTATAATTTTCTCAATTCATGCTTATGGGGATAAGTGGACAGTTTTCTTTTCCAAGAAATAGAAAGCTCTTGTGGGGGACGCTGAAGGGTGGATAGAAATCAATGCCAGTTTTCTCTTTATTCAGGATGCCAATGAAAGGAGAGGAACAATTAGACTGTGCCTGTGCTAGGAGGGAATTTGCCAAGTGTGGAGGCAATTTGTTCAGTGTGGCGGCCCACCAGAAAATTCACCTTGTTTCCAAATACATTTTTTAATCTCCTGTGGTTATATCCAAAGGAGGGCTTTTGAAGGTAGCAGGTTTATTAGGGGATGGCAGGGAAGTCACCATGGTTGATAGAAACTCCTTATCATTCTGAGATTTGGGTAGTTCTAGGTCATCTCTTAAATGAGCACTCAAGTCATGGTGCCCTTAGACCTACAGAAAGATCTTGCCATGCCATGCCACCCACATGGATCAGGATAAGTCAGATGAGTCACTTTACTGAGAAATATTTCTCCAAACTCTGCCATTTTTATTTATTTTTTTAGTAATACTGTGCCTTTGGAAAATATATTCAGTGTTCTGAGATGGACAGAAATAATAATAGCAACTATCTCAAAGAATTATTATAAGGGTTAAATAAAATAATCAATATCAAATAGTTACATAAAATAGTGCCCATAGAAGATGCTATAGTTTGGATCCAGAATGAGGCCCAGGTGTTAAAGGCTTGATTCCAGATCCAAACTATAGTATCCACTATGGGTGAGTGAGAATTACTACTTAGTGTTGTTACCAATGCTTGACAAATCCTACTTAGTGCTGTTACTGTTGTTATTATTATTAGAAGGACAAGTTGGAAAGCCAAGTTAAGAACATATAACAAATCCATGAAATGGGAGCTGGGAGGGTAACTAATTGCTTGGGCAATATGTCTCCATTCGTGGCAGTCAAAGCTGTACCATTGTCCCAAATTTCTGTCCCAGATTGCCCTTTTCCAAACGTTAGTCCTCCAGCTGCTGAGTATATTCAAAATCTCTGAACGTTATAGAAAACCACCTAATCCCTCATTTAGTATCCATGGGAGGTGGAGCTCATAGATTGACAAATTGTTAAATTATTAAATGGCTGGGCCTATGAAGAATAGGGATAATTGTATCTCACACAGGTAGACACTTGATCCATTTTTACTGGACTAAATTTCTTAAATGGATCTCATGGTGTGACTCAAGAAGATGTCATGTATCACAAAATGGAAGAAGTTTTGAACACTGCTCTGATCACAGCCTGACATACATTCTCCCCATCTCCTGCCATTCCAAACAAAAAAGTGTACTGAAATTGTGTAGTTTTCAGCTCCTTTGAGGAACGTGTTGCCAGGAAACAAATTTATAATTCTTTCACCTACTGAGAAAAGTTTTTCTAGTGCTTCAGATAATGGGTTCTTCAGTCATAAAAGTATGAACAAAGAAAATTGTTACATCGTGGATTCACTGGACAAGAACTCTTCATTTGGGCAATGCAATTTTGCTGCAATGTGTTTGATCACTTTTAAAATTATTCAGAGCTGTCCTTGAGGTTGCATTATGTATCTACCAATGTGATGGTTTCTATCATTTTTCTTGGGGTCCAAATCAAATCAAGCAATTATGAAGTCTGGGGTAGTTTGTTTTTCAGACTGTGTAGCTACATGAAAACTTGTCTTTGCTTTTTAAAGCTCATTTCCACTTTAGAAAAAGTAAAACCTGAATTCTTAAAGGAGAGAGGCCTTAAAATGATTAACTCATTCACTGAATGTTTGTTGAGTATCTACTATATCAAGGCTTACAGTGTTCTAGGCTCTAATAATCCATCCCTGGCCCTCATGATGAATGTCTATCTGGCTTTAGGAACAACTGGACAGTTTGTAGAGACACATAACACATGATGCAAAATTACACCAATGATCAGTGAGAGAGAAGGTGGATTGGTGATCTGATCCAGCCAGGGAAGTCAAGGAAGTCTAATTTAAGGAGGTGTTGGAATAATAGCTGGTGAAAATTCATATTTAATAATGATACCAGCAAATAATTTTGAGTGCTTTATGTGCCAGGAATAGCCCTCAGTGCTTTTCCATGTACCTATCAGTTCATTCTTTGTAATAGACCCTGTTGATGTCTACTCTTATCCCACAACAGGAATGGTGGGGAGCATGGAAGACACCAAGCAGGACATGGGCTTCAGGCAGGAAGAACTGGCTTCTTTGAGGGACCAAGAGAGCAAGACCATTATTTGCATTATTTTGTACATACTTTGGCAGAGTTCCTTCTTCCACCCTAGAAGAGGAAGCCTAGTCCCTCTGGTCCCACCTCAGAGGAACGTCTTGGCCATCTGCCTTATAATATGGTACCCAGTATTCCTTGAACCTCTTCAGAAGCATATAGCCAGCAGTTTACTATCCTCAGATTATGGGAGGGAGCACTGGGCCTGATTTCATAGCAAGGCCCAGAGGGAGCACACTTTTTCAAAACCCTTAGGTATCTATTTTGGTATCCTTTAGTTGGAACCCACTCTGATGAATGCTGGAGATCTGTCTCTATCTGTGCTCTCAAATGAAGGTCTTGGAGAAGCTGATCTGCAGACCAACATGCTCAACCAGGAGATCCTCTATGCCATCCATCTATCTCAGCTTCTCATCCTGATTCCTATGGCTGACGCCACCTGGTTGCCATCTTGGAAACTATAATTCACACTCATTAGAGAATAAGACCTCTTAGTAATTTTTAAATGTTCTATGCCAACTGAAGAATCTCATAGAGCTTTCTTATATTTAACATTTTTATGATTTGTAAAAAATTGCATCAATGTAAGAATAGCTGTTTATATAATGTAACATATGGAGTCACAACTCCAAAATATCTATTCTTTTTTATGAAACACAGTAAGCTAATTCCTTTATGTCCAAGATAATGAATTTTGAGATGAAGAGGCTACTGCCTTCTTATTCTGAATATTGAATTAAATCTTCTTTATGTTAATTTTATTTATTTTCTTTAATGTTGTGGTAAGAATGGCTAGTCTCTATTCCACTTATACCCAGGAGTGCTGGGAACCAAAGCCTTAAATTATTTGGGAATTTAAGAATGAACTGATGAAGGTTTTATTTAATGTAGAACATGCCAATTGTCAAATAATAACAATAATAACAATAATAATAACAGTTTGTGAATGTTGGCTCTCCTCTTCACTCTGTTCAACACTCATTCCTTAAATGGTCATAAGAGGGGCACATGTCATCACTAGCCTCTTGTCTCTGAATTTGGGTCCTGATTTGACCTACCATAGTCTCTACTTTAAAAAGTCAAATCAGACAGGTTTCTCATGAATATTTCTAATTTTGCTCAGTAGCACTTGAGTTCCTACCTCCACTCCTCAATCTGGCTGGTGCTTTAAGAATTTTTTTTAAACATTTCCAACAACTTCTCCTATGCTATTGGAATTTCAATTTTCTTTTTTGTGCCTTTGCCCAGACCTTGGTGGACAGTTCCACTGACTTACCATGTTTACTTACAAAGGGCTTCTTGTGTTTTCGTTTTGAATAGTTAAAACGCTCTTAATTTAAATAAACAATTTTCATTACAGAAAATTTGGAAAATACAGAAAATACTGCAGTGAAGTAAAAGAGCTCAGAACCGCACAGATTTATCTTGACGTATAAAAAGAAGTGAACGCCTTGCTCAACACCACAGCCTCATTTTCCAGAAGCCATTACAATTAATGGTGCATGGGGGCATCCTTCTTAATTGCGTTTATGCTTATGAAAGAACAAATATATACACAAAACTTTATACACACACTTGTATCATTTTTTTAACAAAACTGAGGCCACACTATATAATAATCTATAATATGCTTCTATTATCTTAATAGCATTTTTGTGGACATACATTCCAAGTCATTTTACACAGATCTCCTATTCTTTTTAGTGGCTAAATGAGAGCCCATTATGGATACATCCTAATTTATTGAATCCATCCCATGATGGACATTTGGATTATTTGTGAGTGTTTGCTATAAAAATGAACTTATAATGACCAGAATATTTTGAACATTTGCATTTAGACTCATGGTTTTATATTGTAGAGCAGTTCTCAGAATTGTGGGTACTATATAATAAGATATCTGAGGATTCATATTAGATAGAGAGTCCAAAGTTTTCTTCAAGAAGGTTGAACTTACTCTCTTATCAACAGTAAGATAAATCTTCCATCTGTATATTTCACTAGGCCTGTGTAATTTCTATTTCTTATTTTCCTCTCTGTGTGATCATCTTCCTTTTTTAAGATATTTTATTCAGTGTTCAGCAAAGTTTTTGAGTTCTAAGAACTCTTTCTCTTTCTCCAGTTGTTCCTTTGTAATTATTTCCCTAGTCTCCTCAGGAATTTGCATTATTTTGATCTGGAGTTCTTTTTATTTGTTTCTTTGAGGCTACTTCACAGAGAGCTGCCTGTCCCTCCTTCAGCCTGCTGAGTCATCTTCAATGCCTTGTGCACATTCTCCCCCATTGGCACCTGTCTGCACACATCAGAAACAG